AGTCCTTCCAAAATGAAAAGATCCAAGGGAATACATGTTTTTAAGAAGCCCAGCTTTTCTAAAAAGAAAGAGAAGGATTTTAAAATAAAAGAGAAACCTAAAGAAGAAAAACATAAAGAAGAAAAGCACAAAGAAGAAAAACATAAAGAGAAAAAGTCAAAAGATTTGACAGCAGCTGATGTTGTTAAACAGTGGAAGGAAAAGAAGAAAAAGAAGAAGCCAATTCAGGAGCCAGAGATGCCTCAGATTGATGTTCCGAATCTCAAACCCATTTTTGGAATTCCTTTGGCTGATGCAGCAGAGAGGACCATGATGTATGATGGCATTCGACTGCCGGCAGTTTTCCGTGAATGTGTAGATTATGTAGAGAAGTATGGCATGAGGTGTGAAGGCATCTACAGAGTTTCAGGTATTGGGGACATGCTTTTGGTGGTTTTTAAAAATTAAATTCATTACCATTTTTCAAAGGAAGGAAAAATATTAACTTGTGAGGAAAATTGTGACATGGGTGCCTTAGTCATTTCCTTGATTCTTCCAGTTGAGCAAAAATCTGAGGGGGGGGGGCAGTTTGATTTTTTTTACAGTGTCCCTTTTCATTTTACACATGAGCTGATCACAGCTTGCTGCAGCCTGGAGTGAGAAGAAGTGAAGTGTACGGTAGTGCCTCTTAACTTGCGTGCATTCAGACTGCTTTATCCTTCTCACCTTTTCCCTCTCTGAGCCAGGGCTCAGTGTTGTGAGGGAGTTCAGCAGGAAGTGGCAGGAAATCTGGATTAAGAATGCTTCCTGGCCAAGAGATACATTTTTTGACACAATCGTATAATGTATTTTCTGAGTTAGCTAAGGGACATGAAATGTTATTTGCTGACTGTTTAGGCCCCAAACATGAATGCTCCTGTCAGCCGTGTGCAGCTATTAACATGTATTAGTGAAATTGATTTTCCATTTTTCTTCCATATATATAAAAATTTAAATTTCATACTTGGCAAGAATGTAATTCATATTGGGCATCTGAAATCAAGCAAACTATGCTATTTGAATTAAAAAGATTTTATTTCTTACAAAGCAGCATGACTTTTGTGTTGGTATAGAATGGAAGCCCTGACCTGTGGCAACATGTGTTCCAAGTCATTACGTTTCCATAATTCAGTTTCTTGGTACTAGAGATTTATTTTATACAATTCATTTCGGTCACACATATTTTCATGATGAGGTAGTCATACACTTTTAGAATATATAAAGAAAGACTTAGTTGTTTTCATTTAATTGATTCGTACACATTTCTAGAAGGTAGATTTGATATTTAAGTTTTGTTGAGAAAGGGCAGGCATTTTTGATAATTGGGGAAACCTGTAAATAACCTCATAGATAACATTATCATTTAAGAGTATTTTGGCTAAAATGCTACTTACTATTTTATAGAAAGTAAATTAGAAATTGAATTTGAGTTTATAACTCCTTAGTAACATAAAAGTAAACATAATTAAATGAATTTGAAAATTTTACTTTTAAGCATAATTTATAATGAATTGATTTTTAAAGATTTAGACAGTACTAACAAACTATTTCATATGATTTTGATAGGCATGAAGAAATTTTGTTTTAGGTAAAAGTTTGTGAAGAGTTTCTACAGCTTTTTTCAAAAAATTTTTTGTCTTTGACCTATTTTTTTTAATTAAAAAAATTTTCATCTACAGTTTACATACAATATTATATTTTTTATGTTTATATTCTTTTGGAGCATTGAAGTTGCAGAACTCCGCTTTTCTGTGTGTCAAAACATTCAAATTGAGCTGTTCCCTTCCCTGATCATTGATTCCTGGGGGTTGAGCTCCTGCTTTGATCAGTTTTTTATTTTATTTTAAGCTATGGCAGTATGCTACATTCAGCACACCATGGACTGCAGAGTTTATGGCTGTGACTTTTCATTTTGAATGCTAGTAATATTTTCTGCTGCATATTTTTGGTTCTCACTTATTCATATATAAGTTCCAGTTTAAAACTAATATATCATTGTGCATACGCTCTTTCTCTACCTTGGATGCTTTATTCGAAGAGTCCATTTTGATAACAATTTCAAAGTAAATGACAAACCAAACACATATTCTAATTGTTCACCTGTGTAATTTTCTGTGTAGGCACTGTTGGGGGACAAATTAGATATGTATAAAATATATATATGAGAGAGAGAGGAGGTCTTTGCCAAGAATTTCAACTAAAGTTAGCACTCACTGTGTTTCACTCATACTGTCATAAGAAGAAAATGGGAATTATTTTCTAACTTTCCTGCCTCAAAATAAGATTATTCAAAAATAAGATTCATATTATTATTTTCATATTTGGAGTTATTGATTTGTCAATGCTGGATAAGTTACAGATTTATTGTAATGCCATTAAAAGGTTTTCACATAAAATAACGCCATAGCCCAGATATAAGCACTATTGATTCTAAAATGCTGTTCAGATTAGATGACGCTTGAGTATTCACATTTACTGTTATGGTCTCTCAGTCTTTAAGTTGTGGCTTGTTTCAAATAATTGGCCTAAAGTTTTAAGTATTGAAAACAATAGAAAGCTTCTTTTTACTCTTATGAGTGCACTGTCAATGAATTATGTCACTTAAACGCAGATTGGACCAGAGACTTAAGTTACATGTTTGAAAAACATTCGTTTTTGTGTGTCAGTGTTTCTTTTTGTCCAGTAAGAAAAGCAAAACAATTTTATTTTAGAAACACAGATTTCACTCTTTTTTTGTTCTAGATTAAGAAAACATGTAAAGAATTCAAATTTTAAAAATAGAAATTAGATGGGGATTATTTAATGGAGAATAATTTTCAAGAAGTTTGTTTAAATAGCAAACTCACCTTTTGCATTTATGATACAATTTTTACTTATAAAATAAAGTACCCACAACTTTTTGGAAACATGTTTATATATACTGAGTTTTATGTTGTCAGTCTTATGACTGTTGTAGTTAGAAAAAGCAGTTGGCCGTCTGTGTAGAGCAAAACTTATGCTTAGATTGTAGCTTTTGCCTGAATTTTTACTTACCTTTAAATTAAAAACAATTTTTTTTCTGAGTATGTTGGTGTATTTGCTTAATATATTTGTGGTTGCTATGATTTTTGTTCTGAATATTGAGTTTTTCCATGACCTTTTAGCTGCTGGTTAAATTCATCCTCCAAGTGTATGTAGTCTTTTTTATATTGTCTTGTTTACAGAGGAATTGTGTGAACCTTATGCAGATAAATACTTCGTAACTGGAGGTTTGTTATTGTCAGATTAGCTTTTCTCAGATCTCCCCCCAGGGGTGGGTGCAGTGATGAAGAAAGCTGTTTGATTTTTTTTTCTCGATATTTTCTTTCTCTCTGAATTTGAATGTTTTAAGGAATTAAATCAAAGGTGGATGAGCTGAAAGCAGCCTATGACAGAGAGGAGACTCCAAATTTGGAAGAATATGAGCCTAATACTGTAGCCAGTTTGCTGAAGCAATATTTGCGAGACCTTCCGGAAAATCTGCTTACCAAAGAGCTTATGCCTCGCTTTGAAGAGGCTTGTGGGAGGAGCACAGAGAGTGAGAAAGTGCAGGAATTTCAGCGCTTACTGAAAGAACTGCCAGAATGTAACTATCTTCTGATTTCCTGGCTGATCGTGCACATGGACCATGTTATTGCGAAGGAACTGGAAACAAAAATGAATATACAGAACATTTCTATAGTGCTCAGCCCAACCGTTCAGGTACATGTGCCCTCTGATGCTGGCCCTGGGGAGTTGGGGGAACATTTTCGTTGCTGAGTTGCATACAGCGCAAATAGATAATGATTTAGCCTGAATATTGGTCTTTTTCTTTCACAATATGGACAGTGTCAACATGTAGGATAATGAGCATATTTGCCCTTTGGCTTGAGCTATGTAATATGAATATTGTATAGTCTTTGGTGTGGATTTATAAACCAGTTCTTAATGACAGTGCTCTGTCATTACTGGAGGAGGAGCCCATTGTAGCTACAGTTACAGAGTTCATCATTAGAATTTTAAAGATTTCAATTATTTCTTCAGATAGCTTTATTGCTTAATTATATCACACACACATATCAGACTCAGGCACAAAGGGACCTAATATTTATTTGGTCAGGGATTTAACCTGAGGATTTCATTCATAAATATGGATCCTAGAGAAACATTTTATAGAGTCTTAATCTAAGGAGCCATTTCAGGGAATTGGGTATTGTGTTAATTGGCATCACTATAACAAAAATACTTGCCTTAATTTATTGCTGCTCACTTGGTGCTGGCATAGAGCATGTGTTTTCCTTTAATTAGAGTTACTGATACTTGACTGAGGCCAAACACATAAGACAAAAAAATGAGATGATGGTTATATTTTTTTATTTTAAGCTTTCCTTTTGGCCAGTGTACTATGTTATTAAATATTAGTCATTGTTAACACATTGTGTAACAGTGTATTTTCTTTTACTAAAGATTCTTTCATTGCTCATTGATTATATTTTGGAAGCAAAATGTTTCTTTCCCAGGTTTAGTATAATCATTCATATTAGTCAGGATTTGGTAAATATTATGTTGTTACTTGATATTACTATAAAAGGGGTGATAATATCATAAAAGATTCAAGTGTGTTATAAGAGTAAGTCTTAGGTAGAAAGTAATTTCTTTTATTAGCTTTTCAGCCAACCTAATGTCTTGATCTAGCATATGAACATCGTATTTAAACACTGGCTATGAAAATGCACCCAGAAGGCATTTGTTTCTGGAGTGAGAACTCAAACTCTCGGCCTAGCTTTACAATTTCTGAAGTACTCTTACTTCACATTTTTCAATAGGTCCAGTTGTGTGTGTTAAAAGGTCTCAAAATAACTTGAAAAAAAGAACAAGATTTTTTAGTGCTAAGAACAAATTGATGGTCACCAGCTTCTGGATACTTTTCTTTTTAATTCCTTAGATCAGGGGTTGGCAAACTGCCGCTTGCGAGCCACATGCGGCTCTTTGGGTACGTTCTGTCTCAAAAGTTTGCTGACGCCAATCCTGTCCCTCACAACAATTTAAAAATTATTCGAGGGCCATAAATATATTTTTACATATTCACCATTATGTGAATAATATCCCTTAAAAATTTTATAAATGAAACTATGATAATTTTATTTTCATTTTCAATTTTACTTCAGAGCCACATGTATGTACCCAAAGAGCCGCATGTGGCTCGCGAGCTGCAGTTTGCTGACCTCTGGTGGCTCTTCGGTCTCAAAAGTTTGCCGACCCCTGCCTTAGCGTGCTTGAGTTCATGACTGGACTCTTTTTTTCCCCCTTGTCTTCTTTAAATTGTCTGCTAATTAGCAAAGCACGTCTGGTCACTACTGAGGAGAACTTTCATGTGTCCAGGATTGATTAATGGACGTACTATGCGATAGACACAAATGAAATGAAATAAAATAATAATTTTAATAGTTTTCTTGCAAATCTTTTTATTTTTTTTTTCTTAGATTAGCAATCGTGTCCTATATGTGTTTTTCACACATGTACAAGAGCTCTTTGGAAATGTGATACTAAAGCAAGTGACAAAACCTCTTCGCTGGTCTAACATGGCTACTATACCCACACTGCCAGAGACCCAGGAGAGCATCAAGGAGGAAATCAGAAGACAGGTATGTGAGCTTCAGCCTGTGCTTTAGCCCTAATGAATCTACCTTTGCTCTGACCCTTTTGGAGACTGATGATGATGATGAAGAACTCCTGTTCACTGAGTACTTTGTAAAGTGTTTCTGTAGCTGTGTTAGGCAATTCTTCACAGCTCACTCAAGCCAGAAATTTTCATCTGGCACTTTTACATACCAGTTAAGTCAGGATATGATGGTGGAGGGAGCACAGGTTTTGAAATCAAAAGACCTGGCTTTAAGTTCTTGCTCTGCTTCTAATTAACAGACTGATTTTAGGAAAATCACTTAACTTCTTTAAGCCTCAGTGTTCCCATTTTAAAATGGGCCCTCCCATAGGTTTGATGGGAAGATTACAATAAATGCGATCATGTGTTAAAGATGCTCAGCATGGTTCCAGGGCAGTCCAAAAATGTTAGCTTATCCAATAACATAAGATATTGCTATTATTAGCCATATCTTACAGATAAGAATACTGAAATTTTAAATAACTTACTCTGTGTCACATGGTTACTAAGCTGCAGAACCAGGATTGACCCCAGATCCTGTGCTTTCCCACTATACTTTTTCCTCGTATGTCCGCATGATAGAAGGAAACTGTCATTTGGTTGTGTGTGTGTGTGTGTTTCACAAGCTGAATAAGAAAATCAGGACTAAATAAGAAATATACATTTGATTATTCCATCTTCTATTTGCATACCCATTATCAACTCCCTGCTTTTATTCCCTTTTATCTGCTCTGAGCTCCCATTTCTGATTAGTTGATCCTGTGTTGGGGGAAGAGATGTAAATTAACTACTATTGAACTAATGTAAATTAATGAGAACCCAATGACCAGGCAAAACAAATAATGATTTTTCAGTCATATCCTTGAATAAATAATTTGTGCTATTAAGATGATACAACATGGACTGCTACTCAGGGTGCTGCATTGTTTTTTAGGAGTTTCTTTTGAATTGTTTACATCGAGATCTGCAGGGCGGGGTAAAGGATTTATCTAAAGAAGAAAGATTATGGGAAGTACAAAGAATTTTGACAGCCCTTAAAAGGAAACTGAGAGAAGCTAAAAGACAAGTGAGTGGATTTATTAGTTTGATACATCATGTTTATAATAAAATATAAAAGGATGCGCTAGAATCTTTTATATACTCTTTTATTACTTTAAAAAATGCAACATATAAATGTCTCTTTAAGTGAAGGTCCCTGATGGGAAATGTATTCATTCAGATGTTCCCAGTTCTGATCCTTCAGCTTGGTATCAGGCAAATGTTTCATTTAAACAAATTATTTTACTAAAAAATGTTTTGTCATTTCCTGCTTTGTTGTACCTATCAATAGAGCTTTCTAAGCATGAGAAGCAGTTGGAGAGTGATACATTTCAGAGACTACTAAGGAATTTGAGTCAGAGTTTTGGAAACACGTGGAGTTTCTGAGATCATGAGGGATTTTTTTTTTCTTTTTTTTCTTTTTAAAGATTGTATTGGGGAATTGGGGAAGGGGAACAGCCAAGTTGTTGCCCTTCAATCTTAGTTGTGGAGGGAGGGCGCAGCTAGCTCAGCTCCAAGTCAGTCTCTATCTGGCCGCCTTTTGGCAGCTCGCGGCTGCTCAGCTCAAGGTGCCATGTTCAATCTTAGTTGCGGGTGGGCATAGCCCACCACCCCATGCTGGAGTCAAACCAGCAACCTTGTTAGGAGCCCGTGCTCTCACCAGCTGAGCTATCCTGTCACCTGTTGGCAGCTCAGCAGCAGCTCAGCTTGGGCACAGCTCACTGGCCCATGTGGGAATCGAACCGGCGACCCTGTTGCTCACAGCTCGCGCTCTTAACCAACTGAGCCACTCGGCCGGCCTCAGGGATTTTCTTTAGTAATAGGAAGAGTGGCATGTGTCTCCTTATAAGTTTGGGCTACATGAGTCAGACTTTTGATTTCCCTTCTAGTTTAGTGTATGTTGCTTGGCTCTGCCAGTGTGAATTTCCCTGCCACATCAAAGGTAAGAGCCCAGATCTCTGTACCCTCTTATAGCCCACATACAGATTCAATGGCAGGATCCAAATAGCACTTCCAAGGAACATTAGTTAGCATTTATCAGACTGGGAGAGCATGATGGATGGTGGGTCACCATTCTGGTTGTGCTAAAAGACAAAGACAACCCATGTGCTTTTGTTGCTATGAGGTTAGAGATTTATATAGAGGATAGCTTTGTCCAAAAGGAAACATAAGATTCTTTTTTTTTTTTTTTTAAGATTTTTGTTGGGGAATTGGGAAGGGGGACAGCTAAGTTGTATTTCCTTCAGTCTGAATTGTGGAGGGTGCAGCTAGCTCAGCTCCAAGTCCAGTCACCATCCAGCCGCCCTTCGGCAGCTCGTGGCTGCTCTGCTCAAGGTGCCGTGTTCAATCTTAGTTGTGGGTGGGCGTAGCCTACCATCCCTTCTGGGTGTTGAACTGGGAACCTTGTTGTTAGGAGCACATGCTCTCACCAGCTGAGCCGTCCTGCCGCCTATTGGCAGCTCAGTGACATCTCAGCTTGGGTGGAGCTCACTGGCCCATGTGGGAATCAAACCGATAACCCTGTTGCTCTGAGCTTGTGTGCTCTTAACCAACTGAGCCACTCGGCCGGCCTGACATAAGATTTTTTGATATATGTACTCCAGAACTAGCAGACTAACAGAAACCCTCTGTGTATTTTTCTTTCTTTCTTCTTTTCTCCTATTTACCACATTTTTAAATTTTGCTTCCTGTGCTTATTATTGTTATTATTATTCATTCCCTTCAGTGATTCAGCCTAGAATTGGGTTTTAGACTTATCAATCAGACCTCATGGTTGTAATTGTTAACCATAGAGCAATCTTTAAATGAAGGGTCTCTGACCTAGAATAGGGCTAATGTAGGCTTGGCTTTCATTTCTCTTGCTTCTACATCTCTCTTGAATGAAGGAATCATGACATAGCAAACCAGAGCCAATAACAGAAAGAGATGGATTACCTTTACTTTACCAGTTTTCTTGATGCCTGCTTATTCACAAAATACTTAAAATGTTCTGTAAAGTTATTTTCACTTAGAGGAATAAATGACTTTTAAAGATAGAAGTAAATAATTATGTTGACAGACTAAAAATAAGAAAAACTACAAGATAACATCGATACAGAAAAGTATTTGGCAGAATTCAGCACTTATTTATGAATAAATAAAGCTCTTATCATACAACTTCCTCAGCCTGATAAAGGTTGCATGTGAAAAAATCTGCCGTTAACGTACTTAATGGTAAAAGTCTAATGCATTTTCTAAGATTGGGTGTACTAAGCAGGGATTTCTGTTAAACATTATAGTGGAGATTTGTTCTAGCCAGTACAATAAAGCAAGAAAAAAAGGCATATAGATTAGACAGAAATAAGCCTATACATAGATGATATGATTGTCTATATGTAGAATCCTAAGGAATCTATAAAACTAATAAGTGAATTTAGCAAGGTTGTAGGATATAAGATCAGATATACAAAACTCTGTTGTATTTCTGTATATTAAAAATGAACAATTGAACCTAAAAAAAAAGAATTAAATGCAATGGAGTGATATATCTCAATATTGTGAAGATGTTAGGTTTTCTCAAATTGATCTGTGGATTCAATTCCAATCAGAATCTAAACTGGTGATTTTTGTAGAAATTAACAAGTTCTTTTAAAATATTTGATTGTCGGAAAAGTCATGACGCATTTTTGCAACAAAAAAAACAGAAAAAAATATGTCATGACTTTTCCGACAACCCAATATATGTGGAACTACATATGACCTAGAATAGCCTGAACAGTTTTGAAAAAGAACATTAGAGGACTCACACTTGATTTTAAGATTGACTAAAGCTACAGTAATCATGGGTAGACATAGAATAGAATATCCAGAAATAGTCCCACGCATATAAGGACAATTAATTTCAACAAAGATGCTAAGACAACTCAGTGGGGAGAGCTTTTCGACAAATGATGCTGGAACAATTGGATATCTACATGCAAAAAACCTTCACTCCACACAACATATAACTAACTCAAAATGAATACACTAAAACCTAAAGAAAACTTCGAGGAGAAAACACAAAAGATCTTACTGACTTTGGCTTAGGCAGTGGTTTCTTTCTCTTTTTTTTGGAGGGGGGAGAACAGTGTGTTTTTCCAGGACCCATCTGCTCCAAGTTGAGTAGTTGTTTCATTCTAGTTGTGGAGGGCACAACTCAGTGGCCCATGTGGGGATAGAACCGACAACCTTGGTGATATGAGCACTGCGCTCTAACCAACTGAGCTAACTGGCCACCCTAGGCAGTGGTTTCTTAAGTAGGGCTGTTAAAAGGAACATTTGATCAATTACATTTCATCAAAAATTTAAAACATGCTCTTCAAAAGACACTGTTAAAAAAAATGAATATGCGTGCCAGAAGCTGTATCAAAATATTTGTAAAAAGCACATATTTGAGGGCCGGCCGAGTGGCTCAGTTGGTTAAGAGCTCGCTCAAGGGTTTGAGCTCTGAGCAACAGCGGTTCAATGCCTGGCCCGAGCTGAGGTGCCGCTAAGCTGCCAATAGGTAGCAGGATGGCTCAGCTGAAAAAAACCAAAAAAACACATATTTGATAGAGTACTTGAACTAGAATATATACAGAGGGTCCCCAAAAGAGTATACACTTTTTTTTTTTTTTAAGATTTTTATTGGGGAATTGGGGGATGGGAACAGCGCTGGGGAATTGGG